CACTTATTCCTGACACTCCTTCTTCCTTTGTTGCTCCAGGCAAATAGAGAGTAATTGTCATGCCTTGGATGGTCACTTGCAAGCTTTTAAGACCCCAGGCATTATGAAATGAACTAGGAGGTAGAACGGAAGCATTAAACACGTTATTAGGCCAATTAGCTGGGATGTCCCATGAAACCATGACCTTAAATCTCCAAACCAAGGAACCAAATCTCAGATTTTTGGTTGTACATAATCAGCCTCAGCAGCTACTTTTTTTTTTGTTGTTGTTGTAAATGTATCTATCACGCAACTTTTGCCAAGTCAGCTTTTTACAGGTGTACAACTTATTGACATCAATTACAATCATTAGCTGTGCAACCATACCCTTAATCAGTGTGATTTTTCCATCACTGTTAACCTGCTCTTTCCCCCTCCCTCCCACCTCTGGTAACCACTAATAAACTTTGGTCTCTATACATTTGCCTTTTCTTGTCTTTTTATATAAGTGAGGTCATACAATATTTGTCCTTTTGTGATTGACTTATTTCACTTAGCATAATGTCTTCAAGCTCCATCCATATTGTAGCATGTATCAAGACTTCATTTCTCCTACTGGCAGAGTAGTAGTCCATTGTATGCATGCACCACATTTTGTTTGTCCATTCATCTGTTGATGCCATTTAGGTTGTTTCCATCTTTTGGCTATTGTGAATAGTGCTGCAGTGAACATTGGTGTACAAGTCTTTGTTTGAGTCTCTGCTTTCAAGTCTTTGGGGTATATACCCAGGAATGGAATTGCTGGGTAGTTCTATTTTTAGTTTTTTGAGGCATCGCCACACTGTTTTCCACAACAGCTGTACCATTTTTCATTCCACCAGCAATGGAAGAGGGTTCTAATTCCCCCACACCCTCACCAACATTTGTTATTTTCTTTCTTTTTTTCAATCTTAGCTGTCCTAGTGGGAATGAAATGGTATCTCATCATGGTTTTGATTTGCATCTCTCTGATGGCTAATGATATTGAGCATCTTTTCATGTGTTTGATGGCCAGTTGAATGTTCTCTTTGGTGAAATGTCTATTCAAGTCCTTTGCCCATTTTATGATTGGGTTATTTGTCTTTTTGTAGTTAATTTGTCGAAAGTTTTTTATCTATTTTGGTTATTAGATTCTTATCGGATGTATGATTTCCAAAGATATTCTCCTAGTCAGTAGCTTGTCTTTTCACTTTTTTAGGTAAAGTCTTTTGAAAACCAGAAGTTTTTAATTTTTATGAGTCCTATTTATTTATTTTGTCTTTTGCTGTTTGTGCTTTTGTTATTATATTAGATAATCCATTGTTAAAAGCTAGACTTGACAGCATTGCCCTGCATTTTCTTCTAAGAATTTTATCGCTTTAGTTTGTACATTTAGGTCCTGAATCCATTTTGAATTTGTTTTTGTGTATGATGTGAGGCGTGGATCCTGTTTCACTTTTCTGCATGTGGTAATCCAGTTTTTCCAATACCGTTTATTGAAGAGAGTCTTCTTTCCCCATCAAATGGACTTAGCACTCTTGTCAAAAATCAATTGACCATAGATGTGTGGGTTTATTTTTGGTCTTTCAATTCTATTCCATTGGTCTATGTGTCTATTGTTATACCACTACCATGCTGTTTTAATTACGGAAGCTATATGTTTTAAAATCAGGAAGTACAAGTCCTCCTACTTTGGTCTTCTCTTTCAACATTGCATTAGCTATTTGAGGCCTCTTGCCATTCTACATGAAGTTGAGGATTGTTTTTTCCATTTCTGTAAAGAAGGTTGTTGGAATTTTGATCGGAATTGCATTGAATCTATAGATCACATTGAGTAGTATTAACTTCTTAACAATATTGTCTTCCAATCCAAGAACACAGAACATCTTTCCATTTATTTAAGTCTTCTTTAATCTCTTTCAGCAGTGTTTTATAATTTTCATTGTGTAAGTCCTTCACGTCCCTGTTTAGATGTATTCCTAGATATTTTATTCTCTTAGATGCTATTGTAAATGGAATTGTTTCCCTTATTTCCTTTTCAGATTTCTCATTGCTGGTGTATAGAAACCCAACTAATTTTTGTTAGTAATATTATTTTTAATTAGGATAGTTTATCATGTGGCTTTCCTTAAAACAGGTGGAAATAAAATGATTGGTTCCATTCTCTGAGTTAAATGTTTTGAACTGAATCGTAATGGATCAGAAAAGGTTTATGACAGCAGTTTAAAGAGATAAGAATTGCTCCCAGGCTGGCAGGATTAGATTGTAGCTTGATGAAACATACTAACATCCATAGAAAATTGATGTCAGCCACGATAGGAGTTGGCTATAGAAGCTTATATTCCCTTCTGCAATCTGGGCACACCCCAACTCTGTACAGGGGACAGGTATCCTTGTGCATAGCCCACCATTTCATTCCAAATAGCAGGTATCTGTCCCCACTGCAATAAGCAATCTGATAGGACTAAGCTCTTGGATCACATGATGAACTCCTCTAATCTACAAAACAACCTTCTGATTGTAATTTGGTTTCTCATGTAGTTTATCTATATGGAGAGGCTATATTGGCTAGATGACTTGAATGTACAGCTGCAGATCGTTCTAAGTCTCACTAGAAATTTATACATTAGCTTTTACATGTTAATCTTAGGATTGCTTTGTTAATGCAAGTCTGTCCCTGATTAATAAATCCACTCTCCTTGTACTAAGTATGTAGTTGAGCCTACAAAGCTGAGAGCCAAACCCTGAACCATGGTAGATTCACCAAGATAATGCCCTGCTGGCCCTTTTCAGAGAACCACACCACAGGCTTTACTTCATTGGCTGGAAGTGATTTGTATTTTCCTTATTTGGAGTTTCCATATGTGTGTTAGTGTTGATATTCGTTAATATCACTATTGCCAGTTTGCTGAAGTGATGTGGAGCATCCCAACTTCTCTCCCTGAATCTTTGGGCCAGCTTAACATGACCAGGAAACCATTGAGTGGCAAGCAGTAGACTGAGCAATATAGGAAGAAAGACCTAGTTACTGCCCTGTAAGATCTCACTTTGTGGAACTGTTGTTCTGCTGTATGCCAAATTATAGCGAACAGAGCTGAAAGGAACCTTGAAGATGAACTAGCTCATTTTTCCTCCCATTTTACAGATGGAAAAGCAGAGGTTACTTCTCTACAGCCATATTTTCTTTATGGTCTGTTAATAGTCCCTGTCTAAGGCTTAAGTATATTCACCTGGTCTCAGGTGACCTTTCAGTAACATTCCTCTTCCTCGCCTGAGTCTCATCTGACCAGTACAAAAATTTAACTGCCAAAGGCACTTTCTTTCCTAAGGTTCTGGCAACATTTCTCTCTTTGTTACATACCATTGATATCCAGGTTCACATTTGAAGTATAATTGCATCTTTGATTTCAGACTGTGTTTCTAATTGCATCCTTTGTAGCCTGACTGATGTAATGATCTTTTTGACCACTTTGGAGATAGATTTCATGGTAACTAATCAGATCTCTTTTTATCATGGTCAGAGATGCTGAATTTGTCATGTTGTGGTCCTTGTTTTTGACTCTGTACCCCTAACTTTAGACATACTGTTTCATGATCTAATAATAAACTTCAGCAGCACCTCTTTAAATAATAATCACTATATACCCACAATATGATTATATTTGGTTAATTCTATAAAAATTTGTAGACAATAAAAATTTCTTTTAATATTTTTATTCATGTTTGTTTTAATCACAGTAGCAGCTTATATTCATAAAACAATTTTTTTCTTTCCTTTCTTTTCTCTTTTCCTTCTTTTTGGGTATGCAATATTATGTGTTTTAAGTTTCTTCTTCTAATGGCAAAACTGTCTTATTAGCTTAGCATTACTTTTTTACATATATTTAAAAAAATTTAATAGCAAGTTATAAATGAATGTCCATTTTCTTGTAATGCATCTTTGCATATTTCCAAGAGGGAAGTGAGACAGCAAATGTGAATTAACATAGCATAAGCAAAGTGCATTCATGTAAATGCTCAGAGGGTTAGTCAGGGAGCACTTCCTGGGAGAATTATGCTTTGAACAAGATTTTAAGAGAGGGTACAGATATGAACTGGTAAAGAGGAAGGGGTCCGAAAAGTGGGAAGTGTTACTTACAAATTATGCACTGGGGAGCTGTATCAGAAGTAGGTGGAATGGGTGCTAGGAAAAATAATACCCACTGCAGAATGTTTAATCAGGCACTTGACTACTTTTCCTAAATTTCCTAAGGGGAAAGCCAAAAAGGGGAGAGAGACAGTGCTTCCCCTATTGGAGCTTCCAGTCTTGCTGTTGAGACAAGGCAACAAAAAGACAAAGGAGGAGCCTTGAAAACCAGTGAGAGTGGTTTGGATCTTATAGGTATGAAATGGAGGGAGCCCTTGAGAGTCTCCTGTATCATTCTGCTTCTATAATTTGCTCAGGCGAAAGAGGCCTGAGCTGGGAAAGATCAAACGGAGTGGGTGGCTAGGTTTCAGAATCAATTTTGTAGCTATATAATATCAATTAGCAGAAGAGCTTTTCCTCACACAAAACTATTTTGAATCACTTTAGAAAAAATAGGCTGCCTAAAATCTTTTGTCCGTGATTAACAATGAATAGAAAATTACTGGTTTGCTCTTGCAAACAACACTTAATGTCAGTAACTTCAGGCAAGTTTTGCAATTTTACGGTAAATTTTTATACTGAAACCAGTTTAGGAAGCTATTTAGTCCATGGTTTTTTTTAGTGGAAAGATGATGTGGGTAGACTAGAATAATGACATTACTTTTCTGCACCAAAATATTAGCAAGGTACTAATGGCTCCAATTTGATACTGTCACTTCAAAAAGTAAAGGAGAGCGATCAAGTTGCTTATGAAAACATTTTAGATTATGTGAAAAATAGCATCACTTTATAATAGTTGATATAGGAAATAATTTAGGTTTTGCTTTTAGTGCATTGATTTATCTCCATCTTGAATCAGGCCTAAAAGAGAAAGTTTCTAGATTTTTCTTGCTATGTATGAAGTTCTCTGATAATTATTTGATCTCAGGCCGTAGAGATGTAGATTGTATTTTCTCCCTTTCCTCCTCTTCTTTTCATCCGCCTCTTTGCTACTTGCAAATTGTTCTGTGATTTCCACTATCTCCACTGTCTTTCCAGTGGGAGGTCTCCAGAGGTCCTTGGTTTCTTGGAACGACATTTGAGGCATGTTTAAGTGCCTTACAACATTCCTGGGTTTAGATGGGTTTTGATTCACATGGATTGGTGGTAGGTCTCTGAAAGGCACCAGCACAAAAATGATAGGAATCCTGGGGTCTGGGATCAGGCTGGGTAGTATCTGTCCACTTGTCACTGGAAAAAATTATCTGGGAAAGACATTGTTTAAGGGATAGCTCTCTAAAGCTGACTGAACTTTTAGGTTGTGATTCTCTTTTGTCTGGGGAAGAACATCAGTGAAATAAGGCTTCACTCCTGCTCTGGTATTGATTTCATACGCATTGTGCCTGTCAGCCAGTGCTCTTCCAGGTAAAATAGGCTGGAAAACGGTTGATCCTGAGACACCACTCACAAAGTTGTTGAGGAGAGAATGCCAAATCCCACCACTTATTGGACTCAAAGTGACCTGCGGCCATAAACTGGCCAGGCTCTGGAGAGCTTCACGGTTCCACGCTGAGGCAGGAAAGTCAGTCTCAGTGCGATAGAGCTGAGAAAAGTAAATACTATGAATAACGTTTGGATACGTCATCCGGAAATTGTACATTTTGCTGATGCAGCAGTGGGTAGCTTCATTACAAGGAGAGTTGTTGGAATACAGAATGATGTGCCTGATGCCATCGTTATTGTATAAGGCTGAGTCAAGATAACTTTTTGTCTGAAATAGCATTGATTCTGGATGAATATGGCTCTCAGTGCAACTACTAGCATGGCCCTTTTGCACCAGGCTGCCAGAAGAAGTTTTTAGTTCATAAAATAAGAGGTGTTTTGTTTGAGGATGCACTGGCCCATAAGCGAATCCAAAAGTCTGATAAAGTTCTGTGTAGGCAACTTTTGCTTCTTCACCTGTTCGAATATGGTAAGGGCAATTAGAACAATCTAGAGAGAAGCTAAGCCAGTAGTAAGGTTTTACTGTTGTTCCACAGTTTGCTAGGTATTCCTCATATAAAGGCTCCATTTCCAGTTTTATTGTCTTCTAGCTGCAACCCTAGAAAACGAAGAGAAATTATATGTAAAACCATACAGGAAAAACTAAACACAATGCATTAATTTATTGTCATATCATCCTTTAAAGGAGGTAGCACAATAACTAAAGTAGCATCTTTGATTCTAAAAGGGAGTGATATCCATAGACCAGAAAGTTCAGAATCCATCTTTATTTAGACTCCTGGGGGTAGGGAGGAAACAAAAGAGAAAGGCATGTGGTTAAGATTGTGTGTCAACTTGGCTGGGCCATGATTCTCGGTATTTTAATGTAATCACTCCCATGATTAAATATACTGTAAGTAGCCAGTCAGATAAAAGGGAGTCTCCTTGGGGGTGTGGCCCGAATCTGTATATAAGCAGACGTTCTGGCTTTTTGCTCTCTCTGGATCCTGCGGCTGCTTCCTGTCGTCTCATCTCCCGTTCTTGGGACTTGAGCTGTCAGCTTATCTGCCAAACCTGGGATTCGTCGATCTGCACAGCCTGTGAGCAGGAGCCCTGCTCTCCCACCTGCCGATCTTGGGTTTGCCACCTTCTGCAGCTGTGTGACTTGGGAGAGGCCTCTACCCTGTGACTTGGGACGTTCTAGCCTCTACAATCCCGTGAGCTGTTTCCTTGATATAATCTCTCTCTCTCTATATATATATTTATACACTTTACTGGTTTTGCTTCTCTAGAGAATCTAGCTGTCTTAGTCATCTAGTGCTGCTACAACAGAAATACCACACGTGGATGGTTTTAATGAAGAGAAGTTTATTTCCTCATAGTCAAAGTAGGCTAAAAGTCCAAATTCAGGGCATCAGCTCCAGGGGAAGGCTTTTTCTCTCTGTCGGCCTTCTTCTCTTCAGTGTTCCCCCAGACTAGGAGCTTCTCTGCTCAGGGACCCTGGTCCAAAGGACGGCGCTCTGCTCCCGGCACTGTTTTCTTGATGGTATGAGGTCCCCCTTTCTCACTGCTCACTTCTGTCTTTTATATCTCAAGAGATTGCCTCAGGACACAATCCAGTCTTGTAGATCAGGTCCTGCCTTACTAACACAACTGCCACCCATCCTCCCTCATTAACATCATAGAGGCAAGTTTACAACATACAGGAAAATCACACAGTACCAGGAGTCATGGCCTAGCCAAACTGATACACACATTTTTGGGGGGACGTAATTCAAACCACGACACCAGCCTAAGACAGCATAATAACTTTACCAGTTTCATAGATTTCGAGACAGTGGAGCAAATGGGTTATCAGTGCAGGTTTTAGAAACGAACTGCCTTGTTTTAGATCAGAGCTGTGCCACTTACTAGCTGTGTGACCTCAGGCAAGTTAAATTATTTAATGTCTGAGAGCCTCGGCTTCCTCACCTATAGTGTAGATAATAAGAATACCTACTTCATAGGATTGTCTTGAGGATTGAATGATTGAATAAATATGAAACGCTTTCCTATGTACCTGACACATAGTAAGGACTCAATAAATACCAGCTCTTACCAGTAGTAATAGTACAAATCCCATGGTGATCTAGATGATTCCTGTTTATGAAAATCCGAAGAAATAAGCATGGGTTTTACATTTTGTTCACAATGTTCTTCCTTTATCTCTTCTCTGAACACGATAGTGTCTAATATATTGCGCAAAGAGTTTGAGTGTGCTTGGATTTAAAGTCACCTAGTTCTTAAAATAACTGGCAATAATTTGGAGGTGGTTATCCTTTTGGGAAGAGGGTCATGGGGTCTGTCCTGCTTAATTAGAGAAACTTCTTCTAGAGGTGCCACTTGAGTATTCTTTGGGTCATGGATACTCATTCATTGATGTTTGAGTTTTATTTTCCCTGGGTGGTCTTGTTAGAGCATTTTTGAAATTTTTGTTGTTCATGTTAGTTGCTGTGGAGTTGATTCCAACTCATGGTGACCCCTTGTGTGCAGAGTAGAACTGCTCTGTAGGGTTTTCAAGGCCGTGGCCTTTTGGAAGCATATCACTAGGCCGGTCTGCTGAGGCACCTCAGGGGGGTTCAAACCACCAGCCTTTCAGCTAGTAGTTGAGTGCTTAACCATTCGTCCCCCGCCCCCCAGCATCCCGGGACTGCTTTGAAACTTTACTATTCTGGAAAGCAAATACGGTTCTTTAGAATATTTCAAATCAGTAGTTTCTGTGATACTAAACCCAGAAAATGGAGATCTTTAAGTTATGGTCATTTCTTTTAAAAAATATTCCTTTGGTTATCATTGTTCCCAGGCAGCTATGTAGGACATTATAATATGGTTTTTAAAATCATTTAAAAATAATTTTTTATTATACAAGTATTGTATGTTTATTGTAGAATATTTAAAAAATACTGATACATAAAGAAGAATATAAAAACCTGTACCATGTTATACCGCCTTATATTCCCATCACTGTTAATAGGTATATTCCCGCCAGGCTTTTTGCTATGTTATGCGTAATATAAATAACATCATGTTTTATATCTTTCTTTTTCACTTAGTATTATGTCACGAGCACTTTCTCATGTTATTAAAAAGTCTTCAAAAAACAATATCCTTGGCTAATTAGTATTTTATTATATAACTTTAACATTACAGTTCTTGCCTCATTTTTATTAACTAACACTTTGATGAACGTTTCTGTAAATAAATCGCTCATGTATCTGATTCTTTAGTATAGGTGACTAGAAATTGTATTATTAGGTCAAACTTTGTCAGATCGTTTCCTAGAAAGGTATACCAGTCTCATCTCTCACATTCTCTCTCAGTGTTGTTTATCACCGTATTTGAGAAGCAGGCGTTGATATCTCTGTTGTTATAATTTGTACCTTTTCTGTTCCTAGTGAGGTTGAACAGTTTTTCACATGTTTATTGGTTTATGCCAAACCAAAAACCCAAACGTGTTGCTGTCAAGTCGATTCTGACTCATAGTGACCCTATAGGACAGAGTAGAAACTGCCCCATAGGGTTTCCAAGGAGCGACTGGTGGATTCGAACTGCTCCATAGGGTTTCCAAGGAGTGACTGGTGGATTCGAACTGCTGATCTTTTGGTTAGCAGCCAAATGCTTAGTATTTATTTTTCTGATAAATATCTTTGCTCCTTTACCTACTTTTTGTTTTGAGTTTACCCTATTGACTTACAAGAGCTCTTTATGCATCAAGCATATTAACTATGTCATTTTTGTTGCAAATATTTTGCCTGGTTTATAGATTACTGCCTTTTAATTACTCTATTTTAATTGCACCAAATTTTACATTTTTATGTGGTCTGATCTTTACTTTTGTGGTTTATTTTTTAACTCCTGTATTTAGAAAAGATTTCTTCATTAAAGGACAATTAAGTATTCCACCATATTTTTTTCTAGTTTATGGTTTCATTTTTTACATTTAACTTTTTATCCATCTGAGAGTTTTGCTGAGATATGGTGCATTGCTGTCTTGAAATAGTAAATAGACACTGTCTTGAAAACAATAAAACAGATAAAGCAGGAAATTTAGATAAGATAAATGACCATTGCCATGCAGTATACCTTCACTTTTCTAAATCTAATGTATCGTTTCACAGAGAGTCTTTGTGGCCTCTCATATGGAGCCATGGTGGCACAGGAGCCCTCGTGGCGCTGTTGTTAAGCAAACTCTCGGCTGCTAACCAAAAGGTCAGCAGTTTGAATCCACTAGCCACTCCATGGGTGAAAGATGTGGCAGTCTGCTTTCCACAGCCTTAGAAACCCTATGAGGCAGTTCTGTTCTGTCCTACAGGGTCGCTATGGGTCAGAGTTGACTTGATGGCAATAGGTTTTTGGTTCATCTGGAAGCATTTGTATGGACTTATTGTCTCCTCAGAAGCCAGTCACTGCTGTATTTGATATGACCCGATATCTAGGCTGGAACCTGCACAGTTCCTAAGCCAATACTGTCCTGGGCAGAAAATATTTCAAGAGCCGCAATCCAGCTATAGGTGGAGTGTGGCTTTACTCAAGTTGCCGTTATTCTATTGGCCAGTGTCCCTTAGTAACTCTGGCACCATATATCCATCAAATCCTAGCTTTCTCCTAATCTCTGCCATGTCAGCTGGGTCCATAGGGCTTTTATCTCAGTTTTCTCTTTAGTACTAAAGTATCCTGATGTAAATAAATTCTTGCCCTGAGTCTTCTTAGTTCTTGTATAGCTTTTTCTTGGGGGAGCTGGACCTTTTTTTTTTCAGTGTCTCTAGCTGTTTAACCCTTAGCAATGGGCCAACCATCTGGAACCATGGCACCATCTCCTACTTGATCCTGTGTGCTGTTTTCTCCTAGGACCTCCTCCTCTTTCAGCCTTACTCATCATACTGGATCTCTTGGCTATCAAAACTTGCTGAGGCCAAGCCAACATGCTCACTTTTCTTTTGAACATTGTGCCCTGAATGTGTTCTACCACCGGGTGGCACACCTGACCTCCAGGTTACTGCTCAAGTATAACTTCAACTCACCCATAGAAAATTTACACATTTATTTGACTAAAATGTTATGGAAGCAATGCTATGAGGCTGTTTTCTGCCTTTTTTGCGGGGGCAGTGGGGAGTTAACTATACAATGATCCCAGAATTACCTCCTAGGGAAGCAGAAGTCTCTGTCTTTCAGGATAAAGCAGTAAGATGGAAACTCATGATTGCTTCTCCTCAACACTCCTTCCTTTGCACCCCTCTCCCATGGCTGTTTTAGCTGGGAATGGTGCAGCATTGCTGTATTTAAGGAGATCTTGGTGACCAGTGGGCTTGATATGTAATGAAGGGAGCTTGGGAATCCCATTCTTGCTGATGGCTTTTCAGTGTCAACCAACTGTGCTTTCCTGTTGGTGAAATTTTCACTTCTTCAGAGGGTCTTTTGAGGATTGTTCTTTGATCACACTCATCCAAAGGGGAAGCAGAGAAAAACTGCACCCTATGAACTTTTATCAAGACACAATTTTTTATCATCAATATGGAAACCCTGGTGGTGTAGTTCTTAAGAGTTCGGCCG